TCGTTTTCACCGCACCCGTCATGTGGCCCAGTGCGTTTTCAGCTTCCCCCGTCGCCAGCTGGGCCTGCGATGCTGCAGACGCGATGTGCTCCAGTGTCTCCTCCGCCTTCGCCACAGCCTTGGCGACCTCACCCGCCGCCTTCTGCGCGCCACTCGCGGCCTGGGCGAAGAAGAATGCGGCATTCCTTCGGCTCTCAGTGGCTGCGTAGCGGAAGTTCCGCCCGGAATGATCGAGACTCCCTGCAGCGCCCGTGGCGCTCTTCATGGCGTCTCCCGCACTTTCTATAGCGTTGTCGGCGTCTTTCACGGCCTGGCCGCATTCAGCCGCTGCCTTCTTCGCACACTCCGTAGCGTCACGGGCCTTTGCCGCCGCCGCTTCCGCTGCACTCGCCGCCATAGTGGCTGCTATTGCAGAGCCTGGCAGAACAGAAGACGCCGCAGCAGCCCGCGCATTCGCCGCGGTCGCCCTCGACAACTTCTCCGCAGCGGTGGCAGCAGCAGCCGCGAGGTCAGCATGGCCCGCCGCGGACTTGCAGTGCGTCGCCGCAGCCGATGCCTTCGACGTTGCGTGCCTCACCTTGTCCGACGCCACCCGGCACCCCCGCGCCGCCTCCACCGCGCTCGCAGCGGCCTTCCTCAGCTTTTCCTTTGCGGCCCCCGGGCTGTTTTGCAGCTCACTGCTCGTCACCACGGTGGTTGCTTTGTCCGCCAGCGATTTGGCGACCTGCGTTGCGTTTCGGGCGTTCTCCACCGCACTCGCAGCTGCCGTCTTCGCCGCGTCTGCCTCCTTCGCGGCGTCCTTCGCCTTGGCCACTGCCTCCTCTGCCTCGCTCGCGGCAGTCTCCGCTTCGTCCAGTGCCTTGGTAGAATTCCGCTGAGCAATGCCAGCCAGCGCTGCGGCCTTGGCGTTGGCCTTCATCTTCGCCTCCGCCACCGCTGCAGGGCTCACCCCGGCGGCCGTCACGCACAAGGGCGCGCAGCACAGCAGAAGCGCAAGCACGCACAGCACACGGCGCATCACGATCACTCTTCCTGTTACGTTCACTCGAGTAGCTGGGATCCGCAAAGAAGCGCAATGCACACAACAGACAGCCCACACACACAGAGATCAGCACAGAGAACCCACACGCCCGAAACAAGGAGGGAACAGCGAGGCAGCCGCAGCGCACCACACACGAAGAACAAAAAAGAGAGAAATCGCCCAGCAGAGCAAACAGTTAGTGGGCGGCGCACAGCAGCACGCAAAGCAAAGCCCACACCCGCGAGAAAAAGAAACCACACCTCGCACACACACAGCACAAGTGAGTACAGTCGCGGGTGAATTAAACAGCGCCCAGCCCACAACGGGGCAGCAATGGAATGAAATGAAAAACATTAATATGTGCTCAGCCTCCAAGGACACACGCAATTAAAAGGATACCACCCTGCCCGATGCACACACACACACCCACACACAGCTCATCAGCACACAGCCACAAGGGCCATCGCCCCCAGGAGCGGTAGTGTACACACCACCGCAGGAACGCTGCTGCTATCCGCATCATCAGGAAGATTTATAGAAGCAACCAGTGTCCCTGGCATTTTGGGAAATTTTGGCAATGCCGTAGTGGGGCCTACAGAATCAACAGTAGTTACAGCGGCTACGGGTATATCGCCATTGGTTGCCGATACAGGCGCTACATTACCGCTGGAGGCGTCGTCCGAAGAACTTATCACCTACGTGGAGAGTTCTGGCGCTTCCTGCTGATCTCTCCACTGCGGTGCAGCGTCTGCGTCCCTCTTTGCACTCAGAGCCGCTGCCTCCGCCACAGTCACTTTCACAAGCGCCTGCTGCGCAGCTTGCTTTACCCCCGCAGCTTTCTGTGTGACCTTCCCAGTATAAACAAAAGTCTGCTCAATATGTGAAGTTGCAGTTTCAGCCTGCGCACCCGCGCCATCAGTCATCGCCCTCACCGCAGACGCCCGCTCTGTAGCCACCACGGCATCCCTCTGCGCGGCCTCTGCCTCGGCTAGCACGCCCTCCCGACGCACGTCGCGCAGCACCTTCGGCCGCTGCCGCACTCACTGCCGCGGGCAGCAACGCATGGATGCCACGCGCAATCTCCTCAAGCTGCCCGACGGCATCTTTGTTTTTCCCATTCAACGCTGGCATTCCTCACATGCAGAAAGGCGTTCAGGACAGCGTTCATCAATTCTTCTTTTTTCTTAGCAGCAGCCCCCTCGTTGATGTGTTGGTATGCGCTGCTGCAACAACCGCCCTATGGCTTCGGACACGGCAGGCCAGACATCTTCAGTCAAACTCGGGCAATTCCATCAACACACTGCATTTGGCCAACACCAACAAATAAAACTGCAGCAGCAATCCCCCACAGCACACAGCGCACATCCGCCACTCCCGGTATCTCCCCCTCCGCTGCTTCAGATAGCCTACCCACGCTGACAAAACAAGAAGAAACAGCCCATCACACAAGCACAACACCGGAAGGAAGCA